CCTTCCCAAAACTCAGTCACTGAAGACTCTGGAGCACAGCTTTACTCTGACACACTTGGGGTCAGTTTGACTCCCTGACAACCGGATTCCCGGAGCCAGTGGAGTGGAGGAAGTTTAGTGGACAGTGAATCCCACTTTAGCCAACAAAGCTGCCACAGCCGTCAGCAGCAGAGTTTCAGCACAGAGTTGCCATCCTACCTTTCTTTGCTTGGTCAGACCTTCTAGGAAAAGCCATACTTTCAGAGATGCATCAGCTGCTCAGCTTGGTGGTGGGTGGTGCAAGCCTAATACTAATAGCTTACATACTGCTCACGTATTTCATACAGGTGCTGTGCTGAGGGCTTTAGACACATGATCTAACAAGACAGCCTGATGTGGGAGGAGCGCTGTTACCTTCTCTTCATAGAGGGGTAAAGGGGCTTAGCTTACAGAGCTTGCCTGAGATCCTCAGTGAAGAAGCAGCCCAGGCAATTTAACTCTGGAACCTCAAGTTCCTAGCTGTCAGAGCCATGCAAGAATGGAGAGAATATGTAAAAAACAAAACAAAACAAAAAAAGCCAGGCTCTGTGGAGAAGCAGGGTGGTGTGCATGCACTTGGAGGTTTGTGGTATGTCAGAGGTCAGATCAGGGACAAACGTTATGTGAGGGTGGTGCTGTTGTGGCAGTCTTTTTGTGACTTCAAAGGCTGTTGAATGTAAAACTAGGCTGTAGGATGAGGTGCTTAAGCAGAACTTGAAGAAGGACATTATAGTTGGCAAGTTAGGTGGTAAGCGAACAAGAGGAAGACCCTCAGTGAGGTGGACTGATACAGTGGCTCCAACAGTGGGCTTAAACACAGCAACATCTGAGGACGGCACAGATTGGCTGATCCTTTTTGTTGCTTACAGAGGTGACTGTGTCCCTGGTTGGATAAGAGCTGAGGTGACGTGCTTGATGAGATCTTTTCCCATTTCTGTGATTGCTGCAAGTTTGGAAAGGTCAGAATGTTCTGCCGTTGAGGGGACAATAAAAACCCATTTCTGTTGAGTTGATTTGAACTCGTAGACATCCAATGGGACAGAGTAGAACTGTTCCCGAGGGTTTCCAAAGTGGTGAATCTTTGCAGCGGCAGAGTGCCCCGTCTTTCTCTGTGGGACCAGCTCGTGTGTTTGAACTATTCACCTTTCAGTAGCAGCCAAATCCCCCCTCCATCAAAGTTTTTATTTATTTATAGATTTAATCATTTTATTGGGAGCTTGTACAACTCTTATCACAA